GCTGGAGAGGTGTGAGGTTCGAACTCCAGCAACCTGAGGCTGACAGCTTTGTGGAAGCAGCCACTTAAAGACCTGAGCTAGGGCCAGGCCCCCTACAAAGTGAGTTTAAGGCCAACCGGAACTATACAGTAAAACTCTGTCTCAAAAAGACTAAAAAAAATTTTTTTTAATTTTATTTATTTCTTTTGTGTGTGTGTGTGTGTGTGTGTGTGTGTGGCCAGCTCAGCCCACCAGGGGGCGGGGCTGGCTGGCATGTGGTGCTGGGGGAGTGAACTGCGGTCCCTGTGCTTTGCCAAGCCTGTTCCAAGTAGGTGCTCTAGACCACTGAGCCATCTCACCACCCCTGAACCCTGGCTTTTCTATTTCTTTTGTGTGTGTGTGTGTGTGTGTGTGTGTGTGTGTGTGCGGAACTGGGGATTGAACTCAGGCCCTTGCGCTTGCCAGGGAAGCGCTTATTCCACTGAACCATCTCCCCAGCCCCTGGCTTTTCTATTTCCTAGCTGTGAGCACTTTGGAAGGACAATTCTCTGCCTTGTCCCGCAGTCTTCCCATGGACTCTTCAGAAAGCTCAAAGCCTACCACCGCGGTGCACATATGTGAGCCCAGCATTCTGGGAGGCTGATCACAAGTTTGAGCTCAGTCTGGGCAATTCAGCAACTTAGGAGACCCTGTCTCAAAAACAAAAAGAAAGAAAGTGGGCAGTGCTGAGGAAGAAGGCCGGTGCAAAAGCCTGAGGCTCAAGGTCTTTTCAAAGCTGTCCTCGTCCATGATTAGATCGGGTAAAACAGAGAATAATGGTGAGAATTCTTGGGAGGATAAATGAGATAACCCAAGTGAAACAGTTAGATTGACGGCTGGTAGCGTCCAGTAAATGTTAAGGGACACCAAAAGAGCAAGAGAAAGGCAGTATATGTAACAAGAAAAGCTGGGCTGGAGCCCTGGCGCTGACATTTACTGTGCTTCACCTTCTTTGAAGTTCTGTGTCTTTATCTGCACTGTTATAAGGATTAGCAATAAGGCATTTAAAGCACCTGACACAGAATCAGTACAAGCGCACACGCCTACACGCGCGCACACGCACACAACCACTCAGCAATGAATTGTACTTATCCTCTAGTGCAGACTCAGAGTTAAGATGGATGAATGCTGTAGCATGTGCCAGGGATGTGGGATAAAACGATGATACAATACGGGGGGAATTAGTGTATCAGTTATACTCTGAAAAGCCTGAAATTTGGCATGGGTGAATTTCCAAAGACTCAAAAGAAGTAGCTCAGTGGTAAAGGGACAGGCTAGCATGTGTGTGAGGCCTGGCATTGGATCCCCACCAGGGAAACAAACAAAAAAAAAAAACCACACACACACACAAAGACCCACCAAAGACCAGATTTGCATTCTGATTCCATTATATACTGGTCTAGAAACCTAGGATAAAGTGTTTAAACTTGTCATCATTTTGTTCATATGTACAATAGACATAAGAGCAATAACTTCCCTGTTCTTGTACATGGGTTTTTGGGGGGTTTGGGATTTTTTTTCCTAGAGACAGGGGGCCTCATAGGTTAAAGAAGAAGGAGAAGAAGGAGGAGGAGGAGGAGGAGAAGGGAAAGGAGGAGGAGAAGGAAGAAGAAGAGGAGGAGGAGAAGGAGGAGGAAGAGAAGGAGGAGAGATAAAAGCAAAAAGATAAGACAAAGGCCTTGTTGAACTTTATTAAGATCAACAGAAAAAGAAAAAGCTCAGTAGGAAAACAAAAAAAAAAATTGCTGCCTTCACAGATAGACTCTGCAGGTAGGGCAGTTGAAAAGAGAGCAAAGGGAGAGAAAGGCCAGACTCGAGGGAGGCACCGGATGACACAGATACCATAAAAGTTTACAAAACAGTTAATGCTAGGTCTGGCCAGATAGCTCAGCATATTAAAGCACCTGCTTAGGCAGATGCAGCCGCTGGGGTTTGATCCCTGGCCTGCTGTGCTGGCCCCACCCCTGGGGTGCACTGAGACGGTGATTGAGATGGCAGTCTGGCTCACGCCTGGAATCCCAGAGCTTGGGAGGCTGAAAACAGAAGAATCTCTACGAGTCTGATTTGCGTGGTGAGACCCTGTAGTCCCTATACTAAATACAAAAACAAAAACAAAAACAAAGAAACCCAAACCATGAAGACCCAAAAACCCAGCTCCTCTCATCCACCTGACAGAATGTAAGAGAAAAAACAGTCACCTAATAGCTGCTATTTAATATAACACATATGACACACTCACCCACTCACACACCTGTACCTATACACATATATGCATGTTCATCAACATAATAGTCCACAAGGTATACACGTGTGCAAATGTCCCCTGTACTTAATCATTAAATAAGCTGCCTTCTAGCAGTTTCTCCTCCTTCACTTACTTATTACAAAGAGACAAACAAACAAACACATGGCCTGAAAGAATACAAGCAGACATGCCAGGCTAGGGAGATAGCTCAGTCGCACAGTGCCTGCCTGGGAAGTGGAAGGTCCTGAGTTGGATTCCAGTACCCCTCACCCCAAAAGCAGATGTGTGTAAGATCAAAGACAGTCCAAAAAACCAAATCAAATATTGATCACTGCCCACCTGGGGGATGAGAAAGACACTAGTCCCCAATAAAAAGAGCCAGGGATAAGCATTTATGAAGTGGCTGGGCTTGGTGGTACAATCCACGTGAGTACTGTTTTCATTCAGTGGGGTGAGATGGTGTGCACCTGTGGTCCCAGCACTCTGGGCAACTCATGCAGGAGGATTGCAAGGTTGAGCCCAGTGTGGACAATTTAGCGAGACCCTGTCTCAAAAAAAAAACAAAAAAAAGCTGGGAAGCTGTGGTTGTAGCTTAATGTCCTGGATTCAATCCCAGGACTATAGAACAAGACAAAGCACTCTTTTGAAGTATACAATTTGGTAGTTTTTAGAATATTTCCTTCTATCTATTTTCACAACAGTTTGACTCAAAAGCTAATCCTCACAACCAATACCAGTCAGTTTCCAATCCATGACTCCATAATCTACTTTCTAATTTTAAGGATTTGCCTATGCTGGATATTTCTTATAAGTGGATCATACGAGGTGTGGCATTTTGTATCTGGCTTTTGTTTTT